GAACTGTGAGCAGCACGGGAGTCTACACATCTGGAGGCACCAGCTTCTGAAAGGCGATCGAGAGGTTGCCAGCCAGAGGGGCTGAAAGGAGATTCCAGGTACAGCTTCGAGTCCTCCCGTATTTATTTCTGCTCCCTTGATATGCACCTCTCCCTTGTCAACCTGGTACAACATGTTTATTTAAGAGATAATGTTGCCGTGGAGGAGTGCACAAGGCAATAAACAGCTTTTGCAGGCAATTAAATGCAGAAGTGAAATTGAGCTGCTGGTCAGTGGAACCAGCCATTCATCGTGAGTCTGTTCCAGTGTCACAAATGTTATTCCTGTTTCACAACAGGACAGGAATCTATGATTGGGCCACAAATCTCCAGAGGCTGGAGGCAGACCAAAAGCGATTAAAGCAGTTCTCCGCATGCAGGGCATTAACATGAAGGAGTCCTGAGCTTCTGGGATGCGGACCCAGCACGCTGTTCTATTTCCTTTAATAGATTTCGCACTTAGTAGGTGCTCTGTAATTATCTGTGGCTTGATTTTATAGGGACACTTACCGGAAGTCTCACCTTTACAATAAACTCAATGGCTACTTTTCAGCAAATAATTCAATACCCTCCCTATTAGCTTTAAAAAATTAGGATTATCTCCACTTCCATCAGTTTTTCTAGGAATCAGAAAGGAGCTCTTGGTTGAAGAACATTCCCGCTGTTCCCCCACCCCCACCCCCCACCCATGGATATACCCCGCAGTAAGGGGAGGGGGAGAACTAACAGAATGGGGACTTGATCCAGTGAGGAGTGAGGAAGGAAGTCAAGACAGTCTCTGGAGGAGATGTGCCAGGGTCAGACCAAGGGAGGAGGCAGTCAGGAGGGACTAGCACAGTCTGGCACACCTTCCACAAAGGAGATGAAAAGCAGGGTCACAATCAAGGGGGCACCCCCATGCCGTCCTCCCCCCGGAAGCTTCCAGCAGGAGGGAGCACAAGAGCAGAACCAAAGCACCCTCCCAAAACAGCGGGGCTGGGGCCCAGATGGCTGTTCCCGACGCTTCTGCCCTAACAACGTGGTTAAAAAGTGAGCCCTCTAGGGGTGCCTGGGTGGCTCAATAGGTTAAGGCTCTGACTTCAGCTCAGGTCATGATCTCACGGTCCATGAGCTTGAGTCCTGTGTCAGGCTCTGTGCTGACAGCTCGGAGCCTGAAGCCTGCTTCGGATTCTGTGTCTCCTTCTCTCTCTCTGCCCTTCCCCCACTCATACTCTGTCTCTCACAAAAATAAACGTTAAAAAAAAATGTTTAAAAAAAAAGTGAGCCGTTTTGTTCCTTATTAAGAGCGATAGCGCTTACTAGTTATAAGTATTATGTGTAGGCATTCCCCATTTAACTAATACTTCATAACACACACATCATAAACATGTGTTGCACCATTATGATTTCTGTCTGTGCTTCTGGTTTTCCATCTGCTGAGCAGAACACGTTTTTCCCCAACCCTGAAAAAATTATTCCACGTACATTCATACTTGGTCCATACTCACATGTCACAGTCTTTTAATACTAAAATGCGCCCTACATATACCCTATCTTGTCACAAAGGGGATCTGAGATCGCTAACTACAATACATAGCGGCAGAAGGCTGAAAATTAGATAGATCTAAAAAATGATGATTAGTGAAAAGAAATAACTGCAGTCAACACGGGCATAGCACTTGCTGGTGTGCCCAGAAACGTCTACAGGCACTAATCACCTCACTCCAGCTGTTACACTGCCAGACGTATGCAGGCAACCATTCTCTGAAGGTGGTACCATGCCCACTTTACAGACCAAAACAGAGAGACGCAGAGACAATTTTGTGTTTTGCCCCAGGCTTCACAAACATTTAAATGCCAAGTCAGAAGTGAATATGGATCTTCCAGTGTTCTCCTAAACCAACAGACCTGGTTTCTAGTCCAGGCTCTGCCATCAACTATCTGTGGGTGCGGAGTAAACCCCTTCAGCTTCAGACCTCTGTTCTCCCTGCACCAGGATGGGGTGAACTGGAGCTTCCTAAGACCCACTGCAGCTCTGATCGCCACGAGACTGATGGTCACCTGCCATTCTGCAAAGTGATGGCTTATATACCTACGCTGGGTCTTGCACTTAGGAGTTTATTTCCAAGAGAACTAATTTTTGTAGGAATAACAACAGGGCTGTAAGTCCAGCTTGTGTTTGTATCTGGTTACGAGGTTAATCCATAGACTCACACAGCGTCAGACTGAGGAGGGATGGAGACGCCACGCGGTCAAGCCCCTCATCTCAACTGTTAGGATCATTTTCCAGGTTACACGAACACTGCAGGTGTGTCTAGATATGCTTTCCCGAGAAGCACATTCACAGGAGATTTGCAGGCAGATTCCAAAAGCAACTTTCAGATAGCAGGGAATTCAGCATATTTTCAATGCTATTGCCGAGACGGCATATTTCAGGAAAGCTTCAGAGGCCCCATTCTCGGCCATCCGAGGTAACCACACGTCAGCACTGTTCCAGAAGTTTCTGCATATTTCCAACCTCCACAAGGGAGGAAAGAAAACCGGAAGACGATTCCAAGAAGACCCTCAATGTAAAGCAAAGCGCTTAGGTAGGAATTCTAAGCCCTAAAGAACTAGAGAGGACCTTGGTATTTATATTGATGGCAGTTTCCGTGGCCCAACCCAGTGATAACCAAACGCTGCTGAGAAACACCGTGGAACCAGACAGATCCACATTCAAACTCCAGCTCTCTTGTGTGGTGGCTGTGTGACCATGGACAAGTCAGCCCTCTGGGTCTCAGTGTCCTCACCTGTAAAAAGCAGGCAACACGATCTGCCTCCTGGGCCTTGGAGGAAGACTCACCGTTCAGCAAATGCTGGCTGTCATGACTGGTGCCATTACTAACTAAGAGGAAGGGGCATCAACCACAGTAGCAGAGAAGGACCTATTTCTGCAAAATAATTTGTTCCATGAGAATATATTACCAACAGCGACTGGAAATAAAAGGTCTTACGCTCAGCCTTCCAGGAAGACAAACTATATGTTAAATGATGCCTCGGCGGGCGTCTCTACCTCTCTCCATAAGTGGCAGTGCTAGAGACAGCATGAACAGCATCAAAACTGCCTGTCCCCCAGGACTAAGAAAGTCTGGCCACGATTTTTCCTCCAGGTGTGGGAACCTGCCCTCCGGAAACTCTCTCTCTCCTTACACACAGCACCTGAGACATCTCTCCAAGACCAGGCAGTGATGCTGGTCTGCCGTCTTATAGGCCAGCTCAAGGATTCTGACAAGTAGACGTCTGACTTTACCGGAAAGCTCACCAAGAGTTGCCTGCCTTTCTCTCAGGGAACAGTTAAGGTTTTTTTCCCCCCCTCATCCTTTTTCTCATAGGCCAACAGGTTCACAGAGCTGTCCTACTTTTATCCTTAAAGCCTAGAAGTAGCCAGAAAATCAGGACGCTCCAGCGGTAGTCCCTGCCTTGTGGGAATCTACAGGATACGCTGGTGTTTTCAGAACTACAAGATACTTCTTCTTCCTTGCAGAGAGGAGAGCTTCTGATGGAAATCAGCCCAAAACCTGCCCCCAAGAATAAAATCCAGTTGGCACTTTGAAAGGCCTGTAGAGGTCCAGGTTGAAGATCTATAAGTGACTGCATTCCTTTACACTCACATTACCTCCGAGTTCTCATACCCATATGCGTGAAGCCCTCTTTTTTTTTTTAAGCTTATTTATTTTTGAGAGAGAGAGAACATGAGCAGGGGAGGGGCAGACATAGAATTCAAAGCAGGTTCCAGGCTCTAAGCTGTCAGTTCGAGCCTGACACAGGGCTTGAACTCACGAACTGTGGGATCATGATCTGAGCTGAAGTCAGAGGCTCAACCGACTGAGCCACCCAGGCGCCCCTGTGAAGCCCTCTTTTTAACAAGCATGGTTCTGAAAATAAAATGTGTGGCAAACTTACAAAAATGTGTATCCCAGGGGACTAGGGTGGACGTATTAATAGGCTGAAGAAGTCTGATCCCTAAGGGGAGTGAGAGAATCCAAAAAGCGGGGGAGCTTGAAAATTAACTACTTCCTCACACCTAAAAAATACAAAACGGGATAGAATCGCCCAGAGGAAAATTTCAACTTACATTTTTAAAAAATGGGCATAAGAAGGTCGAAGTTTTGCCCCGAACTCCCAGATATGTATGTCCCATTGTGTTGGAATCAAAGCCCAGTTGAGAAAGCCTGCGAGGTAAATGTACCCCAAATAAGAACCGTTCTCCCTGAATTGTAACATCTATGGCTGCCAGAGGCTTGCAGGTGGGGAGTGCTGGCTCTCATGCGGCCACACTCCCCGCGGCGTGGTAACCCAGCTCGTGGACGTTTTCAGTGCCTTGAAATCCGAGGAAACGGTTACAGCTGAGGAAGCAGAACAGCTCTAGAAAAACACTCCTTCCCTGACAATGCAAAATGCTTTGTTTTACCCCCGTGTTAATCTACAAGCTCTTGATCGCACACTTAAGCATATGAAAGATGACCTTCATTCCCAGCTAAAAAAAAGCACCCAATGTGGCCCAGAACGACAGGGACCTAATTCCTTTTCTTACCTTGCGTCCACGTGAGCACACAGGTGATACCACTCGTCCCTTCCAGGGTGCAAATTCATCACTAAGATTACAGCCACCCAGAAGGCCGCACCCAGCATTTTCTAAGCTGCTCAAAGAAAGTGGGGAGGAGGCTACAGGAGGAGGTGAGACCTCACACAGTGAGCCCCTCGTGAATCTGCCTCCGGCCAACTGGGTATTTATGCAAAATGATAGTGCAAAATGAGAGAAGTGCAAACACACACAAGTGTGATCCCTTTACACGTTACAATTCCCGCAGCCGACCCGGGAGAGGGAACTTTTTTTTTTTTTTAACACCTCTGGCATAACATGCACACATGTGTGCTGAGCTGGTCGTTGTGTGTGCATGTGTGTGTTCTTGACAGATCCAGTCACTCTGGGCTACGTCTTACCTGCCACTGGTTTCCCGGCTGACTGGGCACGTAGGGTGCCGGGAGGCTCCGCAGGCTGTTCTTCACAGGGGACCCCCCGAGGGGGTTTCCCACGTCCCCGGAAGAGGAATCCGCGGCCAAGGCCATGGAGTACTGCGGGTAGTTGTACAGATTGTTGTAGTAAGGGAACAGAGAAGGCTGGTAAAAGCTGCTGTAGTAGGTGGAGTCAGAAACCAGATCAGGTGTGTTCTCCATGTGCCCTCTGCTGGTGACGGCAGGAATATCCTGGATGACCATGCGTCCCTCTGGAAAGGAAAAGACCACAGGGTATTCACATGGGGGTGCACAAAACTCTACCTCTCAACCCTGGCAACGTACGGCCTTCCTCATCTGCAAAGCTACAGAGCAAGGCTCTGGAACACGCTGCTTCCTCCCCCAGCCAAAATAAGGGACATGTCTCTAAGGCTGGCAAAACTGGGGACACAGCTGGCAGACCCCTGCAGATGACTTATTTTCACTGAGAATACCAAAAACATTTTAGTGACATAAAGCCTGGGCAGGCCTAACTTCGACCCAGACAATTCTACCCCAATGTTAGGAAACTGGAGATCAAATCTAGTTAACTTGGCCGTCGGCATCATTTTTACAACAAAATGAATTGTACTTCACTTTCAACAAAGTAATAAAATCCCAATGCTCAAACTATGGTAGCCACATAGATATATCAAAGAGCCAAAGCAAAAGGCTAAGAGTTTAAGCACACATTATTTCTTTACTTTCCTCCCACACCTGATACTGGACTCTTCACAAGTCTGGACAATGGTATAGACCAGGGGTAGACAAACTTCTTCTGTAAAAGGTTAGTAACGATTTCAGGCCATTCAACTGCAGAACGCCCAGACTGCTGAGTGGTCATGTTACAATAAAACTTTATTCACAAAGCCAAGCAGTGGGCAGAAGCAGCCTAAAGGCTGTAGTTTTGTCAACCCCATGTCTAGATTTTAAATTGTGTCGATTCGTAAACAAGCAGACTCCTAAATCCTCTCTCCCATGGACATCCATCACGCCATGTTCTAAGAGGTGGTCCAGGAGCCTGAGATGGCTGCAAGGTGTCAGGATGCCGCTGCCCGGGGATTCTACAGTCTGGGGTGAGACATGTGATGAGATTACAAATACCAACAAGGATTATCACACAGGAATAGCCATAGACTTTTATGGAAATCCAAAGGCTGGAGAGAGGACTTGGAGCCGAGAAAGGACCACAGAGACCTTCAGGAAAAGAAACTGCATCCAAGCTGAAGTTTAAGGGAGGAACAGAGAAAGGTGAAAAATAAAGAAAGTGTTGAGAAAAGGACAAGGAGGACAAAGGCATGGGAGCGGGAAATCAGGAGGAGGGAGTGAGAGCGAGAGCTGGACAGGGCAGCGCAGCGAAGCTGAAGAACTGGGTGCCCGAAAGGGAATGAGAGGCAGAGCTGGAGCAAGGGGCGGGGAAGCCTCCAGCCAGCCTTCCAGACCCTGCAGCATGTGACGATTTCTGGGCCAGGAGCAGAGGGTCAGCACTGAGTTCCAGAGTGAGTGACCTGATGGCAAGCTTAGGACAAGCGAAGGGAAGAGAGACCTCAAGTCTGTGAAAGCAGCGAGGGGCCTGAGCTATGGGCAAGGGGGCAGGACTCAGCAGAAGTGGAGGGGCTGGCTGGACTTCCATCTGGAAGGGAAGGAGAATGCCGGAGGAGGCACTTGGCCGACCTGGGGGAGAGTGGGGAGTCTGGTATGGTAGGAGAGGGAGGCGATGAGTTCTGTCGCATCCACAAGCTGGATGGAGGCACTTACAGGCGATGAGCGAAGGTGGGAACTGGCAAGTGCACTCGGCAGAGGAGAGGCTGGAGGAGCCCTGGGAGCCCTGGGGTGGGGGGAGGGTTCTACCAGCCTCCAGGGAGAGGGGGAGGGAGTTGTTACCAAAGAGCGAGTTCTGGGAGAAGAAAAGGGAGCCAGGAATGGAGCTGGGGAGAACCAAGGAGAGAACACAGTATCACACAGGCCAAAGTTGATGTGGCTCCTGGAGGGGTCAGCATGCCTTGTCAACTGCTGCCAAGAGATCAAGCAAATCAGTTCTAGAAAAAAACCAACAGAGGGCTTCAGGGCCTTGTGGGTTTTGCAGGAGAGGGAGGAACGAGGAAGCAATGAGGAAACAGACCAGCTGGGCACAAGAGCCTTCTCTTCGCCAGAATGTAGAAGAAGCAAAAGCAGGCACCAGGGCTCCGGGCTCACTGGTGCATCCCCGAACCTAGCACACCGCGGGACACGAGGTGGTCAATTATGTGCCCGAACAGATCGACGAGTCCCGGTTTTCCAAGTAGCCAGGCCTCAAAATAAATGTGAGGAAGAAACAGAAGCTCCCCGGAGCAAGAAAGCGTCATTTCATTTTTAACCCACAGACAAGGGTTGAGCATGCATAGGTGGGGAGAAGCTGGTCGACGGAAATTCCCCACAGAGTCAACACGTGGCCCAGAGCAGGTGCTCCATGTGTCCACTGGCTGAATATGGAAGGAAAAGATAAGATATGCAGGCGGCAAGCTGTGGAAGGGATTTTCACAGCCCCACCTTAAAGTCAGTGCTAAAGTGTCCTCTCTCTGAAAGGATACCTAATCCATCCACCTTAGTGCCCTCCCAACGTTGTCAAGCCACTATTTCATTCTATTTCTTTCCTTCCTTCTCTCCTCTTCCAAGCTAATGAGATGAGACATTCATTCCAGTTCCATTACTCCACACCGCATGTGGAGAAGGCGCCTGCCCTCCTCTCCTCTTGAACTCCCCAGCTTTTTCTTATTTTAAACACCAATTTTGCGCATAAGAGGTGGTTTCCAGTGGCGAATTCTTTTGTGTTTAATGTTGTCTCTTCACTGTTTTCCTCATTACTTAAGCGATACAAATTTTGTGAAAATGACGAATTCTACGGGTGTCTAAATCAGGGAAGGAATGAATGACACGGGCTTCACCACTCAGTCACAAGCACTGGTGGGACATCCACGTGTGATCTCACAGACATTGAGGAAGGCATTTCCGATGCTTATCTCTGTCCTTGCAGCGGGGGAAAAAACAGATACCCCTTCGGACCTGCCCTTCAAAAGCAAGGTCCTCAATTAAAAAAAATATACGTTAGTAGGTAAAGAATTAAATAGAAGGCCCAGGGAGGCAGCTGGGTGGCTCCAGTCAGTTGAACACCTGACTCCTGATTTCCCCTCAGGGCATGATCCCAGGGTTGTGGGATCGAGCCTGGTGTCGGGCTCCACACTGGGCATGGAGGCTGCTTACGATTCTCTCCGTCTCTCTCTCTCTCTCTCTCTCTCTCAATCTCTCTCTCTCTTTGCCCCTCTCACCTGTTTGCACTCTCTCGCTCTCAAATAAATTAAAAACAAGAAGAAGAAAAAGAAGAGGAAGAAACCCAAGGACACCAGGATTCTCAGATTAGGACACAGGTTCGTGAATTTCCGAATCACACCCCTACTCAAGACCTTTTATCAGGCCTCCGTTTTATCCAGCAATATGATGTCAGTAATAATTCTCAAGGTAACAAGAGGATGGCTTCAACAAACTGCACAGGGAGCCTCTAGGTCAGGTCAGAGCGAGGACTGGTTTTGCTACAGCTGAGTATAATCAATCAGCTACTGAGGCCATCACTTTCCCACTTACCCGGTATTTTACTTCCTCTTTCAGATTATATTGACCTTGAAGAATAAATTAAGAAACACACTGGAAAAGTTTCATTTCCTACCAGTATTTAAATAATAAAAACTCTTTGAGCTTTCTAAGAGTAGGTGCCTAAGGATTTTACAATCCTAAAATGTTTAAGCACTCTTGAAAAGTGACATTTTAAAAAGCTCTCGGGACCTGTGGAACTGCCACACCCTGTATTTTGTAAACCTCAAATTGTATTTTAAAGTTCACATCAAAACTCTTGGTCCATGTTCAAAACAGGTTTATGAGCCCCAGCCTCTACGTGCATGCCACTGATACGTGGAAATTTCCCGAGGTCGAAATAAGCATCCATCAGTTGACAGGTGTCTCATCCAGTGGAGTTAACAGTGTGGCCCTTGAATGGGCAGCATCAGCCCCCTCGGGAACTTGCAAAAGCGCACCCTCTTGGACCCCACCACACCCACTGAGTCAGAAACTCTGAGGGGTGGGTGGGCCCAGCAGTCCTGAGTTTAACAAAGTCCTCAGAAGGCTCTGATGCACTCACAGATCGAAACTCACTGGTCTACTTGGAAGATTGCAAACCAGTGCTTGAGAAGCTATCCCCAAAAACGTGACCCCTGACCGCACTGCTGTGACACTCCTGCCTGGCTATCCCACAAGAGCATGCAGATAAATACCACCTCCTCCAAAATCACGGCAGAGCTCGGATCACAAGTGGTGTGCATACTGCTGCCTAACAGTTTGGAGGCTCACGGGCCACACCCAGGCTTTCTTCATTTATTCTAACCACAAAAGTTTAATTTATTTAAGTGCTTTTACCCTTCGAAAAACTGAAATATTCCACACAGGGCTTCTGGAAAACCAAGAGGAGTGGGTAATGCAAAAAACACTTATTCTTTTTTTTAATATGAAATTTATTGTCAAATTGGTTTCCATACAATACCCAGTGCTCCTCCCAACAGGTGCCCTCCTCAATACCCATCACCCACCCTCCCCTCCCTCCTACCCCCCCCCATCAACCCTCAGTTTGTTCTCAGTTTTTAAGAGTCTCTTATGTTTTGGCTCCCTCCCTCTCTAACCTCTTTTTTTTTTTTCCTTCCCCACCCCCATGGTCTTGTTAAACTTTCTCAGGATCCACGTAAGTGTGAAAACATATGGTATCAGTCTTTCTCTGTATGACTTATTTCACTTAGCCTCACACTCTCCAGTTCCATTCACGTTGCTACAAAGGGCCATATTTCATTCTTTCTCATTGCCACGTAGTACTCCATTGTGTATATGAACCACAATTTCTTCATCCATTCATCAGTTGATGGACATTTAGGCTCTTTCCATAATTTGGCTATTATTGTTGAGTGCTGGCTGTTAGAAACATTGGGGTACAGTGCCTCATGCATCAGCACTCCTGTATCCCTTGGTAAATTCCTAGCAGCACTATTGCTGGGCAGGGTCCTTAGATCTATTTTTAATTTCTTGAGGAACCTTCACACTGTTTTCCAGAGCGGCTGCACCAGTTTGCATTCCCACCAACAGGGCAAGAGGGTTCCCATTTTTCCACATCCTCTTCAGCATCTACAGTCTCCTGATGTGTTCATTTTTGCTACTCTGA